AAAGCGATTTTTGTGAAAGTTTTTTACAATTTATAAGCTCGTTCGCCGATATATAAGATTCACATTTCCATCAATCATTGTTCATGATAGGTCCTTTTAGTATGTAATTTCTATTTTTATCTTGTAATTTTATTTTGAGAAAATGAGGTTTTTCGTAGTGTTTTCTGTGTTGTCGCTGTAAATCGCCAGGCGCTCTGTTTGCAGATTTCAAGACGCGAGCGCCCACTGGCAGGAAAGCTGTGGGCATGCGCAGTGCGTTTTTCACCAGTGTCCTATACCCCCAAAAGCGCAACATTTAGGTGCGTGGGGCTTATTCAGGGAGGCACTTATTCGGAAGGGGCGATGCCTACTCCGTAGTTATGGTACTCGCGTTCGATCTGTGGAGACATTTTCGATTCGTTTATGTCCCCTTTAGATCCAATCCGTATCTTATTTTGTGTTCACCTAAGTATTATTTTGATTTTTTTTTTCAGGGCAAACCAATTTCTCTAAATTCCCAGTTTCGACTTACTTACTCAATGATTCTCAATCTMCTTCGCGTCGAGCAACTTMGAGTCGARGAGATGATGAAGAGAAGCTTCGCAGAGTTCAACGTCCAGCGCGATGCCGACGGCATGAAGAAAGAAGCCGACCAGCTAGAACAACAGTTGTCCGCAGTGAAGACGATGGATTGTGTGCTATGTAGTCAGGATCTYGTTCAATACTATCAGTCACTAAGAGAACTGCAAGAACTAAGCCATAAAATAAAGGTATTTTGAATAAATACTACTTGTGTGCAAACACTGGAAATATGAACAACTTTAGTAATTAAATGTTGCGGAAAATAGAATGAAGTCAACAAAACCCGTGAAATTGACATAATAATTGATTAAAATACACCTTAGTACGCTCTAATTGCATTGTTTTCTTTTGTGTCTATTTGGCTATCACTCTAGAGTGATCGCACTTAAACCTTGCAACTGTACAAACTAAATAGTGATGTTTAGTTGTATTTAGTAAATCGTGCATGCGATACGCAAATTGAATTGAATTGATACAAATGAAGCATTCAATATCGTCTTGCTTCAGGTCCACTTTTAGTACAAATTAGTACTACTTAGATTTTGTACAGTTGCACGGTTTAAGTGCGGTCACTCTACCCTAAAAAATGAACCCTAGTTTAAYGCAGGTCCCAGTCTTTTTGTTGCAAGTTTCCCGTCTATAAAGCCCAAAGGAAGCCCAAAAGGAGATTGCAGAACTGAATGAGGAGGACAAGAACAGGTTGTACTTATAATATTTTTCATCCGCAGGTCGCTRTAYTGTCATCATCAGCTGCTCARAAAGCTCTTCTTCCTGGTCGCATAGTAACGCTCAAAACTACTAATGGCCACAGAGTCTTATCTGTTCTTCTTCACATTGAATCTGGTTCATCCGGTCAAAACCTGAYTGACAGGAAAATCACCCTTCTGTCACTGACAGATGCGCAATGTAAAGGTAGTCAGTCAGAAAATGATCAGAATGTCACGTGAATGTCACATGACCAAGGAAGAACATAGTTTTCGTGTTTTATACGCCCACTTTCAAGACATAATAGACCCCCCCTGTATTTGTGTAAAAAGATAAATTTTACTCCTTAAAAAGTAGGTTAAATAACTTAGTGACGTTTCGTACAAATACTAGCGTCCATGTGCAGAATTCAATGAAAATCCTAAAACTTACATAACTTACTTTTCTAATTTATTCAAACTWAGCCATTCTAGTTGTATCCACTGATGAAGCCTGAAAAGGCGAAACGTTTGGAATAAAGTTATCTTATGCCTTAAGAAGTATTTCACCAAAATTATTATTATTACACAAGGCATGGCAAACAACTACTTCTCTTCAATGAAAATCCATCTAATCTTTAATTTGTGTTCATTATCATCGTATTGATGTCAACACGTAACATTCCGCGACATCTGAAACCGGCTTTAATGTTATCCTTCTCGTTTTAGATTTTGTTTCATCCAGTATTTTACATAACAATGACGAGCAGATTTTACCTTGTGTGCAATCCAAGTTGTTTCACCCTGAAGGTAAGTGTCTTGTCTTTGGTTGCTTTTGTCACAGTATATCGGAGATGGACTTGGGCTAAGATTGGCTGAACTGAAAACATCAAAAGTGTTATTTTTTCTTAGAGGTTTTCCACCATTACGATTACAACCACCATGTTTGGAAGCTGTATTTAAAGGCCCGCGTGCACCCAAAAACTTTAAGGATCACCTCTCTTTTTAAACGATTCTTTCTGATTAGTTCAAAATCAAAGATGGCAAACTTTCGTATGTGAAAATCGCGCAAAGATTCTTGGATACACGTAGGCGTTTAAGATGTATTTAATTAAAACAAAGCTCGTAAAAGATGCCGGTTAGTGATGGCCCTTTAAGCCTGGATTCTATCACTACGATGAAGAAGCATAGACCAAGAGTAAGAAAAATAAGCAAGCAGGGACAAACAAACAATAATAATTGTACTTTTGTCTTTTAAAGCTTAAAAGGGAAGTTTTTCTTTGTTTTTGTCGCTGAAGCTTGAGTCGTATAGAAAGGTTTATATAATGAGTATGCTAGTGGGAAACGTATGGTAGAAATTACCGCACAGTCACCAGATCTGGCCTGCTCAATTTTGGTGAACCAATGGGGCACTAGAATTTGGTTAGAGTACGATTACGGTCACAGTACAGTACCGTCCGTTTCCCACTTATACGAACTCCGCTCTAACATGTTGTAATGTTATCAACTAGGGCCATCTGGACATGATATTATCAAAGTCCCTATCATGGATATCTGTGATATAACAGTGCGAAAACTAAAAGTAGAAGGCGATAAGATCATTGATGACTACAGAAAGAGAGAGCTGCCAAGATTCAGGTATAGCGTCTTTGCAAAAAATCCCTTGAACTTTCCATCCTACGCATCCCCTCAAACACGCCTCCTCCATTAACATCTCTTTACAGCATACCATTTCGCTTAAAGTGCATATGGAGCGAATTTTTTTTTTATTTGGAAATAGAATCAATAAAACAAGAATAAAAGCTTGGCTAAGCACCACTGGATGCAGGCTTCAACTTTCAGAGAAAATTGGAGTTAAAAATCCATTATGCTAATTTGWTGACGTCACACGAAGTGCTCTATCAAATTTAAACTGTTTTTTTTTAACGAGTGCTCTTAAATTTACCCCCCCCCCCTTGTTTTTAGTAACCCCAGAAATATTTCTTACAAAACAATAAGGTGAAAATAAACAATCCGGCAATTTTGTATAATCAATGAGCCTATCATGTGACATCATCAAATTAATTAATTTCTCTGGATTTTTGAAACCTGCATCCAGTGACACTTTGCCAAGCTGTTATTCTCTTCATATTAATTCTATTTCATGCACTTCAACTTAAACCTTTGTTTTGCCCAGYAATGACCCACCATGTCGATCAGCGCTTATCGCGCAACAAGAACTTCTCMGGCTGGTCGAGTCGAATCCAGATGGACTGGAGACAATGAATCCTATCAAAGACTTCAACATCCGGGATATCGATACTGTTGAGTGGATTTCTAGGAAATCGTACCTCGATGATGTCATTGATAAGTTTGCCTGTAAAGATTGCCCAAAGCTTCAGGAACACGTGAGTACGATTGGAAATTGCTTAAGTGGAATTTAAAGTGCTAGTCTTATCAAAAAACTAAAATTCTTGAAATTTATACAGAATAAAATWTAAATACCAAATAGTATTCTGGCCATTTTTTGTGTCTATACGTCAACGGAAAGATATCTTTTTGAACCGATGAATTTCGCGTTTTCTGATCGGCCATTATTTGAGAGCCTGTCTACTTCTTACAGTGATTTTTTCCATCTCTGTTGTTAGTTTTCACGTGTTCGCGATGAAATTCTCCTAAGGGAGCAGCTCAAACACTTGAAGTTCTTATTGTCAGATGAAAGTCTACATCTCATTCAGGACTACCATCAGAGAATAGAGGTATGGCTACTAAAAATGGAATGGGATAGAAAAGAGATGAGAATAGAATAAAAAATGGGAGGAAGGGAGCATGATATCAAATCCAAGAAGAACTTAGAAAGGAGGAATTAAGAATGGAAAGGTGATAAGAGTGAAATGAAAGAAATAAGCAAATGAAGACTGGGATAAGAAAGACAGAAAGGGAACTAAAATGACGAGAAAGAAACAGTGGGATTGATTGATTGATTGATTTTGATTGATTGATTGATTGATTGTTGATTGTTGATTCTAGGTATTACGAAAACTTCGTTACATCGACTCAAGTAATCGAGTTCAGTTAAAAGGACGAGTCGCTTGTGAGATGAACAATCATGAACTGATGATAACTGAGCTTGTTTTCCAAAACCTATTGACCGATCTACATCACACAGAGATAGCTGCCCTTTTATCGTGTTTTGTATTCCAACAAAAAAGGTGCAGTGAGCCGACACTTACAAAGACTCTACAAGAAGTGAGTACTTTCAGTGATGACTTTTCAACTTTTAAAGAGCTGTTAGAGTGCAAACACGAAAACCATGAACTTCGATTCACCGAAACGCTTTCGATCTCCTTCCTCGAAACCGAACGAGTTCCGAACTTCACCGAACTCCTTTCGATCTGCTCCCTCGAAACCGAAGGAATTCCGACACGAACAGTTTTCGAGACTCCTTCCTCAAACCCGAACGAACTGCGAGCATTGTGAATAGTAATAATCGAAGTCTCGGAAGCAGTTCGGATATATTCGGAGTTTTCATTGACGAGAAGACGGAAGGAAAACACAAAATGGCGGTTACCGTTCGACAATTGAAGCTTCACTAATACAGAAAGTTGCAAATATAACAATATTTTGGTCTGAAAGRCGTTTTTCAAACGCTTCAAATGTCTTAATAATAATATTTATTTGCCTTGTATATTGTTTAGGGTAAAGACCGYATTTTGTCGATTGCTGGGGAAATAGTCGCTGTACAGAATGACTGCGGTCTGGCGACAAACGAGGAAGATTTCAAGGAGCAGTTCTATTTTGGTTTACTGGAAGTYGTCTACGAATGGGCGAGAGGAGTTCCGTTTTCTGATATCACCAATTTGACCGATGTGCAAGAAGGTACGTAAGAGGCTGAAAAGGTCGGTGGGACGTCGGCTAAAAATCGGCGGCACGTCGGGATTATTCAAAATGGCGGACTTGTATCAAACATTGTTTTTTATTTGACTTTTCTGATATATTTTATGTATACGTGGCGAAATAAAATGTCCGATGATAGTTTATAGTTGTCGGTCATGGAAAGAGTTCCAYGGTGAATAGAATAACAAAGTAAGTTTTCTGAGCATAGAAAATATTTTAGATTATCCATTACATGATGGCATGATTAACGCCAATTTATAGTACAAAGATTATTTTACCGAACAACTAACTGAAAACAATTTCTGAATCCCATCTTGCCAAGTATGAAAAGAAGAACGGATTTATTTTATCAAGTCTATTAAATCCCTTAAAGGTATGAKTGATTCAAACGTTTCTGTGATTTATTTTAGGTATTATCGTAAGATGTATCCAGCGTCTAGACGAAACGTGTCGAGACGTACGCAACGCAGCACGTATCATCGGCGACCCTAGTTTGTATAAAAAGATGGAAGATGCGTCCGAGTCTATACGTAGAGATATTGTATTTGCTGCTAGTCTTTACACTCAATAATGATACGTAAAAGCTGCGTTTACGTTGTACTGGACTGGCGGATGCGTAAGCAAATATGCCGCCATATGCCGTTATGAGAAACTGTTTAACGTAAAGGGTGCTACGTAAACGTATACGCTCTACTGGAACGAAGATGGCGCTATTTCGTTCAGTACTTGATGTAAACGCAGTCTAAAATAAATTATGGACAATTCTAAATTAATTGTCAAATTTGGAACTAGAATTTTTCCAATAAAAATATTGAAATGAAGAGTTCAAGATTATCTGAAACAACCAGTACCACAAACGATCACCTCTTCACAACTCTGAACCAACCCTGCACAWCGACCACCTCCATATAACGACCACTCGTACATGACGACCACCAATACCACTTCTCTATCACCACAACCTCTATACACCGAACGCCTCTGAGACTTGGGTCTTGATAGTTTCGTCAACAGACTAGTGATCGGTATTTAGAGGTCCGACCAGTCACAATGTACGTGTCGTTGTATATATCAAGTTGAGTTGGATCATGTTAGATCGGCGGCTTTTACGGTTGTTTCACACATGAATTAGATATGAGTACATCGAGCAAATATATATATTGTGTTGTATCTCTTGTCAACCGAAGAACTAATATAACATAGAAACAAAGAACAAAGTGTTTATTTTGAAGTTCTAAGCGTCTATCTGACTACCGCCGTTAATAGAACTCTTTTCTTTACTTCTTTTACTTAGAATCACCTTTATAATGGTCGAAAGCTATTATTTAACAGGACAATTCTTCAACTTGTGAATTGAACGTATGTTTTGAAAATCACTAAGTGAAATAGACACTAATACCGAAATGGTAGATGGGAAATTTCATGATTAGAGAGTTTGGCATACAGCTGTTTTCAAAAACGTGGCTGAACATTTAAATAAACGCATGTTATATTCCAGTACCGAAATGGATTATTGCTGTTGGACTAAACTCTATTGGTGTACGCTACAAAATGACAAGCCTAACTGAGCTAAATTGTCGCTGAACTAAGCTGKAATAGTCGCTCTGGAACTACGAAACYTGTTTTAGCACTTGATACTATACATTGATTTAGTYTTGTAACTGAGGAGGTTTTCAATAAAACGAAACTAGTTTTACAGACAATACAAACTGATTTTGTGCGTCAAGACCAAATGAAATCAAGATGAAATTAGTAATTTTTTCGGTCTTCTGAAAAACTGTATTCRGTCAGAAACCTTTCTTGCGGTCGAGCCAACGGAATGCACTATTTCCCATATACCAATTCGGTCTGTCTTAATCTCATTGATTTTGACTACAAGAATTTCATTCAAATTATAGAATACTTCTCCATAGGGCCTAACTATAGAAACASAGAAATTATATGTCAAGTTTCTGCTCATGAATAAATGCTTTGTTGAATTTTGGCGTACCCCATAGTTAGTAAGATTGTGATAGATTGTTGTTTTCCTTCGTAAAAATATAGCTTTGCAAAAGAAATGAAAGAAGCCCTATTGTGTCAGCTATCGTTATTAGTGATTTTACGCCATAAAAACTAATTTCATGCATTTTAAAGTTAGTAAGCATATGAAAACTAAGGACTTTCTTTTCATATCGAGAAAAATTCCTCCGTGAGTCCGGTAAAATGTAATTTGAGTTCTGCAAGAAACAAAATCCTTCTTTGAGGGACTGTATTATATTTTARTCTAAAAAGAAAGAAATTACTCGTGCATATCAAGATCTAAACACAAATTAAACAAATGTTTATTGCAAGCATAATAAACTCAAAAAGATATATCAAATAGATTTATATGAATAGAAGATGCTTTACAAACTCGAATAAACAGCAAAAAAAATCGATCTTTTTGATAAATATATCATCTGAATAATTCSAAAGAGATAATTTTCAATTCAAATAATACAAACTCATTACTTTAATGATAGTGTTTGAGAAAACACAGCGAAAAAATTAAATTGAATCGGAATTTGTGTTATAGTTCTTGTTATTTTTCGTTTAAAGAGTTCACGTCCTTTCACTGATATTTTGATAAGACCAGCGTGTACTTCAAAAAAGCATAGACTCCCAGAGCTAAACTACGTAGTTTTGGGGCTAAATAGTTCGATAAAGTCAAAAAATATGGGTTTTCAATGCTGAGTAATCTTCGATTTTATTGATATCTTCGTTTACATCAAACARTACTTTGCGTCGATTGGATAATTTCGATTGATCGCTTAAAGAGATTGGTTGAAATGACGGTCCGCTAGTTTAGTTGAGGATTTTTCACCAAAACCACWTCTATGTCAAATATTTTGACTTCAATATATGTTAAAATCTCCATCGCATAATCCCACTTTTTAGTGTTAAACACAAAGGATGTTTTTTCTTTCATGCAAACGCCTTTCTAGCTTCGTAGCAATTGTTCACAACAACAATAAAGATTGAAAATATGCAAGTAGAACAAGTTCTGAGATATTTAAGCCTTTGGAAACAAATGTTGCAATTTTGTTCCACGACTAGACTTAACTTTAGGGGGTAAAGCAGTCACAACAACGTCAATCGAGCTAAAAATTACTTTGCCCWGTTTTGRATCAACACCTGATTAATATTCAAAATGCTTTCAAAATCCACATTTTGGCGTTGTTGTCGACCTGGTGTCCCAGGGTTTGAACAATAGCCAACTCAGTTAGTACTAACACCATTAATTTGTAAGGGTGCCGCATTGGTCGAGGTAATCACTTCTATTTGAAACATTTGAATACCGAAATTACATTGTATGGTTTAATTTGAATGACAGCTGCTCCACGAATTTATATATTCACAAAAGAGATTTGGGTGCTCACACTTTGAGTGACCGCTCCCATTCCATGATAGATAGTTTACATTGGAAAGCCATCCAGAAAAAACATGGGTTTTTCATCGATATTTTTCGTAACTGTGATCGTTTTATCTGCCGCTATGCAAACATATGCAGTTGTTGGAAGTAACAGCTCTGGGTAAGTCCACTTWAGACATTTATATTTTTAACTCTAAGTAAACCAGATTTTGTTTACGGTGATAATAATAATCTTGAATCAGAATCTTAAGTTTTTTAAACTAGCTCAAAGCACTTAGAAGATAATGAAACTGTTAACACAAATTAATAGAAAAAAGTCAAGTTAACTTCAGTAAATAGAAGCAAARGATCCGGGATGTTTTAATCAAACTACATAACTAGAAAACGATATTTCGGTTTTCCTTTCTTAATTAACCCTATATAATCTATCAAAACATTTCTTGTCATAGCATTGGAATCAGTATCTGTGATTTTTTTAGTTTGTTTAGCGGTATAATTTTAGAAACTACGCTATTATGATTTCTTGTGATATTTTGGGAGCTTCTTTGGATATATGTTGGAGAATGCTCTCAAACACCTGGATGATTTGGGGCGTTGACTTCGATTATTCGCTGCCTCACCTCCAGGTCATTTTGAAAACTTTATATCTACTTGTGACATTATAGATAACATTTGTCAATTGTTGACAAAGTCAGCTTGTGCGACTTYTTTTATTTCATTAGTATCAAAATGTAATTCGCGTATAGATGAGTTTAGTACAGGAATTACAGKGAATTTGCAAATAACACGTCTTGTAAGCCTTATTTACATAACATTATTCCCAATTAATCCCATGTTCAGTGAGAAAAGCCAACAAAAATGTAGTTAAATAGAAAAAAGAATATATATACCATTGTTTTATAAAGAATGAGAATGTTTTCAGAGAATTTGTATCAAARCCGGAACTCAGAAGAAATTCACCACCTATTGAATCATTGAATGTTTTTTCAACACAAACTTTTAGCACTAAGTGTCAAGTACCAGAATTCTACCTAAAAATAACTATTGTTAGGTTAATTAGGGYTTCAGTTCAAGAATAAACTCAAAATAAAGGCKGTTACGAAACTTTGTATCCAATTTGGCGGGAAATAGGCAAAAAACAAACGCGCGCGCGTCTTTCAGAAATTACACTTMATTCTGGATTCAARACTTTTGTTCATGTTTTGGTTCTTGGACCTATTTCGGTCATAATTACACTTTGAATCTATTCAGGGGGCATATTTCCTGCTATGCGAAGTAATTCAGAATCATTTTTTACATTTCTATTATACTCCATCACGAAATAAATAGAATGGAGGCTTCTTGCAGTTTGAGTGTAATATTTCAAACCTTTCTWCCCGCTTACATATCAAAAGCGCTTCAACCTTTCGTTTTGCGTGCTTACAACGATTTTAGAAAWGATATTTTATCAATTTTTCAATGGTTTCATAGTGATTACAATTGGATGACGGAAAATTTTGCGAAAATAAATTAAACATGAATTGATATCTAAATATATCTCAATCTTATGCGAATTCTATCTCATCTAAAACAAACTTTGATGATCTGCGAGAATAATCGACTCTGACAATTAACACTTGAGGACTATGACAAGTTTTCTACTGGTATTTCATATTAGGACGTGGCTTTGGGATTGATTTTCCCAGCTTTAGGCGGTCAGTCTCTTACCACAAATATTAAATCTGGAATAATTAAATGAAAACTTCATTACATTGCTCGAGATTTTTAAATTAAAAGTCCTTTCGGTGAAAAGAAAAAACAGCTTGAGATTAGWCGAGAAGATTGAAAACGAAACACCTTTTGTGCGTGAGTATGATTTGAGAACAAATTTTCTTTTATTTTTATTGCGTTTTGATGGCTTCAATATAACGCACTAATGGCGGAGATGAGGAAATTTGGTATCTAGTTGCTAAAGATTATGGTGATAATCGATAAGTTGTTGTGATGATGATGCTGATGACGAACATAATTCACGATTTGCACGTTAAATGTTTGAGTTATGAAGGTTCAATCTTACAATATGCCAATGACTGTTACGTAACAATGCCTATTATATATTTGTGAAAACTTCACGTACGTTTTGAGTGTTCTTTTTTTTGAACGAAAGAAAAGTTTTTACGTTGAAAAAAAAAAAACAGCCCGCAGAAGTGATACTCTCAATTTACGTTAACCGCTCACGCACTAACGTCTGCGACTGCGTATTTGTAAGCAGACACACTGTTTTCCATTATTACTCACTTTTGGAAAAGCTTTTGCGTAAAAATAAACATCCCGTAAACGTAATACTTAGCCTACGTCAACATGACCGACTGGAGTTTGTCGTGTAACGTAAACGTACGTTAAACGTATCGTTAACGTTTTTCGCATATATACAGTGTAAACGTTTTTTAAGCTCAGAAGATAATCTTTTTTGCTTACGTTGTCTAATAGCGTCGCCAAACAGCCAGCTACAACGGTGGGACCTTCTCCCATCCCAAATGTGACCTCGTCAAGACCAGAAAATTTCACCGAAATCATCAAATCACTTCTTACTGGCTATGACAAGCGCCTACGACCAAATTTTGGAGGTAAGAAAAAACCTTAAGTGTTTCATCACGAAAAAATGTTCTTTCAATTTTRTTATTTTTATTATTATCATCATTATTTTCGCGTTTGAAATTCATGGATATRTTAAGACACTTTGAATAATATGTAAACAAAAAAAAAATGATAGATAAAAAGCTAAATAAAACAATATATCAATAACTAGACAGATAACGTATAAATGGCAATCGAAATATACCTTTTACGTCACAATAAGSCGTTCTTTATGCTCTRCTCCTTGCGTGACAATATTGAGAGCAGATTGCGTGACTTTTTGGTGAGTTCGTGACATCTTTTTTTAACTCAGGGGTACCTGTGAAYGTGACAATWACAACTTTTATTGAATTCATTGGGGACATTGACGAGATCAATATGGTAAGAATATATTACAGAATGTTYAAAGCACGTCAAAAAATTGACTATTAAACGGTGTGATTGTCAAATAGACACAAAAGAAAACAATGAARCTATTTTTTTTACTTCACTGTACTATAGCGTGACACAGCACAACCAAAACACGCAACTTAGTATACGTAACGCAACACATTTTACGTAACGCAACGCAGAGCAAAGTAGCCTAACGCATGGCGCAACACACGCAACCTAGCAACGAATTCCAACGAAACGAAGTACAACGCAACGCACATCAAAACAACACTTGCCATTCACGTTGTCATATYCTTCTAGGAATTCACCACGATTCTGTATTTCCGTCAATACTGGRTGGACCCTAGRCTYGCCTTCAAAGGAAAGAGTTCCTACAACAAGAGGCTCGCATTCAATCCCGAGATGCTCTCGCACATWTGGGTTCCWGATACTCATTTTCCAGGAATCAAGGAAGGCGAAAAACACGCTATAACTGCAACCAATGAAGTCATCAGGATTTATCCCAATGGCTCAGTTCTTTATAGCATGAGGTCAGTACTCATTTACTAGAATCCACAATATTCCATGACACATTTTTTTCTCGATGACTTGATTTTAGTTTGGTCTGGATCAACATCTTTCTGGCTTCGCAAAAAGTGTGATTTACGGCTGGAATTGAATGATACATTTTGGGGGATGAATGGATGACGTAATACATAAATTAATACATAAATTAATTCAAAATTAATGACTGATTGATTGATTGGCTTGTTTATTGAGCGGTCGATCGATTGATTGCATGATTGATTGATTGATTGCATGGTTGATTGCATGATGATTGATTGATTGATTAATTGACTGATGGCATGACTGATTGACTAACTGATCGACTGATTGATTGATTGTATGATGATTGATTGATYGATGGATTGATTGCATGACGATTAAATGATTGATTGATGGATGGACAGATTGCATGACGATTGATTGATTGTATGATTGGTTTATTGCTTTAGGCTTAAAATTACCTCCCAATGTGCAATGGATCTTCGTAAATTTCCAATGGACAGTCAGAAATGCCAACTAAAGATGGAAGCATGTAAGTCAAACAATGCTGTTGATGCMATTGTTGATCTTTAATATTTTCGACTCTTTCTTTACATTCTTCAAGTTTCTGTTGTATTTTAACATCAAGTCGTGTATCAATCCAACAGTTAGTTACGATGAGCAAGAGATGACTCTATCTTGGCATCACTTGAATCCAGTTGTCGTTGCTGAGGGAATCGAGATCCCTAGTTACAGCCTGAACGATGTAAAGTGGTTCACTGATAAAGAAGAATTCACAACAGGTTGGCTCAACTCAATAGTTATTAAGCTTTTACTTCACCTACTTAAGTTGTAATGCATTTGGGAATGAGTTTTTGGAGGAAAGAAATGAAATCCGCCATGTTTTGTCCAAACATATCCTACAATGCATTGCGTATATGGTATATGAAAAAAGGAGAGAAGTAAAGATAGTGGGAAGGAAAAAGAAAAGAAATGAAGGGAAAATAAAGAAAGACWATAACCGAAAGACGTTTTTGTGCATGTTCATGAACTGTTAGAAACGCTCAATGCACTGGAATAAAATGAAATGARAGAAAACGAGAAGAAAGGAAGTGAAGTGGTAGGAAAGAAAGGACGAAATAAACGGAGGGAAAATGGAAAGAAAAGAAAAGTAAAACTAGGAGAAAAAACATAGCAAATGAAAATAGCATTGGAAATGATTTCATGACCTATTGTTCTATTTTTAAAGGAACATACTCGCTTTTGACCATTCAATTTGAACTGGACCGACGACTTGGATTCCACATGATACAGGTATGACTGATAACAATGTTATTACAGTCAACCCTCGTTAGAAACACCTTCGGGAGCATAATTCAGTGTCCGCAATAGCGAGTGTCTGGCTGTAAAGGGACTTAGTCATTCAATAATAATACGGGTGCCCATACTAACGGGGTGTCCGTTATATTGGGGTGTTGTAGGGCGGATTTGGGATGACTATGTAAAACTGACAGTAATGACGCGCAACTCGCAACTCAAAATTAAAAAAACTAACTCAAGAATGCATCATCAAACGGCACGTCTCTTCCCGAAAAGGGGCTGTTTGCACAGTAAGAATGTGCCCTAGCATCAGGGTGTCAACAAGGCGGGAGTAATATTAATATTATATTGATCATCATATTATTTTAAATCCTAGATATACCTTCCATCTTACTTGATAGTGATCCTTGCCTGGGTCAGTTTCTGGGTTGATCGCGAACAGACCGCCGCCAGGATCGCTATGGGTATCACCACCGTCCTCACCATGGCAACACTGATTGGCAGTGCCCGTGTATCGTTGCCCAAGGTGTCTTACATCAAGTCTCTTGARTGGTTCTTAGTMATGTGCTTCTTGTTYGTSTTYTCGGCCATTCTTGAGTACTCGTTCGTGTCGTACCTCGTGTTCAGACAGAGAATCAAGCACCGCGAAGATTACGTCCGTGAGGTACAGGTATGATACTATGGCAACGACGTGACACGTGATTGATGACGTTGACATGACAACACCATAACYATRGCACATGATTGGTGAAGTTASCATGGCARCACCTTGGCCATGACACGTGATCGATGACGTTKASACCATGACTATGACACGTGATCGATAACGTTGACATGACAACATCACAACCATGGCACGTGATTGATTGATACATTGATAACGGATTCATTGAAGTCCATTGAAGAAAAGTTTATATAAAACCAGGATTATTGAAGATAGTTATAGCGTCGAAGAGATTGTTTGAATTAGTTCAAACAATAGTTCTTGATTTAGTATTTTCAGTTCTTACTTTTTCAATCCTTGATTTGATTTMRAAGTTRACACTCTTGAAATGGTTRATAAATTTGACCATYGACGAAGATAGCGGCGAAGTGATTGGTCAAACAAGTCAAACCAATAGTTCTCGATTCAGTTTTTTTCTGAGTCTTTCGGTTCTTGATTTAGTCGTTCCAAATATTGTTGACTTAACGAATTTTGAAACGATGATTTGTACAAAGTCTGTAGTAATTATGATGATGATGAAATGTCAGTCAAAGCAGCGTTGATACAAAAACATCATTATAACACCCCCTTCTAATAAGCCATGATTTCTCCACAGCGTTCTCGAGAGATTCTTGGCCAACCAGCAGAAGGCGAAGCCCTACTCGAAGGGGAGCACGACGATAGCCAAGAGCCTGGTCAGGACGCTGTTTGGGTACCAACCAAGAAACAAGTCGAGACGGTCCTCACCAAGACGGGCGTGGCACCCACTAAAGTKACCATGCCAACCCAGCGAGAGGAAACGCACATCATTAACATGATCAATAAGGTTGAAAATATTTGGCGTGTTGCATTTCCCTTGGCGTTCATCTTTCTGAACGTYATCTACTGGGTTTACTACCTCGCCCTCGCTGAGGATTGAGCTTAAGCAGAYGTAGTTCTTAAATTAAATGCTTGCTTCATACATTTAACTAGAAGTTTTAATAGGAGAGCGCTGAGCGACTTAATGTTCGAAGATTCAAAAGATTACACATTTAGGTATGAGCTTCTGACGAATACGTTTGTCGTTCATATAACTATTTCAAGATTGTTGACAATGAAAACCGAATTTTAATTCTTAAAAGACACATTAGATGTTTGAGAGTTGTCAAATTTGCGAAAGCAACGTGTCAAGCAAATCCTATTTTCAACATTCTGGTTTCCAAATTTTAGCGGAAAAAATCAAGTTTACAATCTGATTTATGGCAATGCCATATAACTAAGGTTAAAAAAAAAACACCAAAACCTCTTTCCAAACGTCAACTTAAACGTATCCCACACCCCTTCCCAATTTAAACGTTACCCAAACGTCTGCCGAACCTCTCCGACACATTCCCCAATCAACCTCTACCGTACCTAATCTCTCCGACACATTCCCGAATTAACCTCTACCATACCAAACCTCTCCGACACATTCCCCAAACCTCTACCAAACGTTTCGCAAACTACTCCAAAATCAAGTCCAGATCAAGTATTTTTCATTATCAACATTACTTGAAATAGATTCATTCATTAAAATACTTCAAGGTCAGTGTATGAAGCGAAAGTTTAGGAGCAATAATAATATTAAGCCATTTTTTCATCGGTCATTGTAAGTTGGTCGGTAGACGAACGTATAGTTAGACTAGAGCACTAGTTTWAGCTTTTCAAATTAACTACCGAAGTTGATCGAAGGTAAGAGAAATCATTTGCTTAGCCATCATCTTTTTTAATTAATACATCAAATAATTAGACCAACAAAACTTGATGGCGTTGTCTAATTCATATTAATCAYTAATTAGATCAATAATTTAATATTTATCAGTATTTATATATCAATAATTTGACATTAATCATCAATTAGATTCATAATTTAGCATTTACCATCAATTAGACCAATAATTCAATATTAACCATTAAATAAATCAATAATTTAATACTAATCATCAAATACATTAATAGTCTAACATCAATTAAATWAATAATTTAATATATATCATTAATTAATCAATAATTTATTAATCTATCATTAATTCATTAATCATTATCATATGCTTAGACTTGCTGATTTTCATTCTAACAATATCAATTATCGATAGATAGCAAAAGTTAAGAAAAATTAAAAAATGTATAATCCGATCCACTAGCTACAAACTAATTTATATTTTAATTTCACGAAATTAATATAAATTAATCATAAATTAATCATTAATTTATTATTATTCAATATTCATAATAGGAAACATATCAGAATTCACCGAATTGAAAACAACTTAAAATCGATTAACCGTATGTGGTTCAGTAGAATTGCGTAAAAAATCGATCGCTGTCGAACATTATCGAAAGTTGAATACAAGTTGAATGTAATCGAACTTAGTCCGAACTTTTTCATACCCACTGGMATTTGAATGAAATCAACTTTTATTGTACATCACATTTATAAGTTGAACTTTGAATGGAAATTCGTCGAATTTGCCTCGATGTAGAATCGAATGTCATCTCAAGTTGACCTAAATCGAAAATCGATTTGAGCTGWTTGAAACCAAATTGAGCCATATAAAAAACTCAAAAGCTTTAGAGTWTCGATTGAAATCGAAAGTTGCATGGTATTACTATTCAAAAGTTCACATATAATATAACGTAAAATTGCCAGTTGAATAAGTTCGGTAAAGGATTAGGAAAATTTTTAATATCTATACAAACAACTTCAGCAATAGAAAAACACGGAAAATAATGGCAATCATTGTATGATAATTACACTAAAATAGATTCTAAGAAAGTTGTTTCGACAAATCGGTAGTCACACACAAAAAAATACCCGATAATTCCCACAATTCATCGGCAGATTAGCTACACTATACCATAATTAGGCCCGCTTCATACGTCCTGCTATCGTCGCCAGGAACCAAATAGCCTGATTTTCTACCATGAAACGTTTGGCGTAGGAATCCATTAACTTAGTTGTGACTGGAACACGTTAGAGCCACGACACGCTTGCTTGCTACACGGGGCGACAATAGCATGACGTATGAATCAGGCCTTACACGCACAACATCTTAGGACAGCCGAAATAGTAAGTAAAAATGCATGAAATTTGTGAATACATACATAGGTATATTAAAGAAGGCATTATACGACCAGATTGCAGACTTCCAAATATGCACAAAGCTGACCATATATGGAGGTGGCGATGCAAGTGAGCATTCAATGCAATTCCAAATATGGACGTCTGTTAGCATCTATGGAATTATGCATAGTCCAGGAGAGTCATATTGATACTTCCAAACATGCATTATGAACCAAATATGTGAAATGCAAAATGCAAACGAAGCTCATTTTGCACGCCAAATATGCACATCTGATGTCAAATATGGAAGAACTGATAAAACACTTCCAAATATAGAAATGCTACCAAATAAGGACGTTGTAAGAATAGCCATTTGTCCAGCTGCCTTAATGAGACCAATAAACTATTTCATTTGCAGTTTTCAATTTCAATGTTGTTATCTGTCTCTTGTGACATGTGCTTGTGATAGAAATGTGATCTTCGAGAGTATTTCACGATCTAAAATCCTGCCAAAACACTAAAACAGCACATTTGTATCAAACATTTTGTATTTCGTCCGGTGTTTTATTCAAACAAATCGTCAATATCTGTGCTCATTGCCTATCTATCTCGATAAAAATAATAATTTCGAAGCCAAATTAGTTCAAACTCCAGTAATTTTTGAATATCTTTTATTTATATACAACCCATTTTTTTCTTATTTTTACCCCGAACAATATCATATTSTACAATCCGCTCGATTCAAATGCCTCAATGGACTACGTGTCCGTCCAAAGAGAATTTTAAACGAAAATTCAGAGTTTATGAAACCATGACGTCAAATAAAACCCTGATGTCATATGCAACCAWGACGTCATATAAAACTATGACGTCATACGGCGTTCCCAAGATCTTGAAGCAATCCTAAAAAGGGCTACAATTGTCCTTTCCCAGTTGTACGCTTCCAACACAACAAAAATTCCAAATTGTTTCTTCCTATGAATAAAACCAATTTGTGCGGGAGAGAATCGAACCGCTAAGTACGTCTGATTACTGAGGCTAATGACGTCACAAAATTAACATATTCGTGACGTCATTTTATAGAAGTTCCAGTTTTAAAAGTAACTTTCTGTATCGCTCTTTGAGTATGAAGAGTAAAACTTCCCAGTTAGTCGTTAGTTAGGTTTCTATAAAATATCGTTACCACGTCTTCGTATCACTTCCTGTTACGGCCTTCATTTCCAGAGAATATATCTAAGAGAAAGCTGACGACTGCTACCGTAAGCCCTTTACACCACTTCCGGTACTGTGAACCACTTCCGGTTTTGGCGTCACTTCCGTCACGCCATTTTGAACAACTCGTCATTTGGCGTGATCTAGGATTAAGTTTCAACACCCCTAGCATTCCCACCAACCTGATTTTGCTGTACACTTCTAGATACAATGGTTGTCGTTACCTCTCTCCTTTCGTCAGTCTTTTCCGATGTCACTGTTTCCACAACGTTTGGTAAGTCACGCACTTGTGCGTCACGCGATGCAAGGTGATCTTGTGACGGTACTTGGTCACGCGGTGGTGCAGGATGCACTGTTTCCAAGGCAACGCTTCCATAATCTCCTACTCTCTTGTTGAGCTGCTCTAAGGCAGATAGATGCTTTGACTGGACGGTTTTCCTGTGTTCTTCTGAACCGTTAGGGTCCTGGATTCCTACTTTWGCTGACAGTTTCTTTAGCGCTGAAATGGCCTGCGATCCTGTTTCTGGGGCTTTCTCTTTACTAACCTATAGACAGATGAACTATTTAGTATTTGGGCTATCCCAAAATGACACCACTTTTGAACGAAATCGCRATGGCTTGCGCAATGCACACACACAGTCGGTTAAATAGTATGAAGCTGGAGCTTACGCAATGAGCTATGATCAACGCAACGGCTTGCGCAATGTTCTATGGTTAACGCAACGGCTTGCGCAATGTGCTATGGATTACGCAACGGCTTGCGCAATGAACACACAGTCAGTTGCATAGTTGGAAGCTGTGGCGTGCGCAATGCGCTATGAATAACACAACAGCTTGCACAATGCGCTATGAATAACACAACAGCTTGCGCAATGCGCTATAAATAACACAACAGCTTGCGCAATGCGCTATGAATAACACAACGTCTTGTGGAATGTGCTATGAGTAACGCAATACCTTACGAAATGAGCATATACCACATTGCATACCTCCTCATTTCTTGACACCGAATAGCTCGCACTTGAGCCATTAGTGGATTGTTTGACRGCCTTGGTTGATTTAACTGGTTTAACCGGTTTTGTATTGGACGTCGTTGAAGGAACAAAAATGAAGGTAACGCTCTTCTGCGACGAGCTTGGGTTCCCTGTGGGTTGTATATGGATTGTGGGTACAGGTTGGACGATAGGAATCACTTCGACTTGGGAGGCTGATGAGCTTGAAGTGCTTTCTTGCGATTGCTCATTCGTTTTACTCTGGAATTTTAATACCAAGAAACATGTTAGGTGTGAATTAGGTAAGGGACATTGTTTTTTAACAGCAGGTCCGGTTTGTTCAAAGCCCGATAAGCGCTAATCCTGGGTTAACTCTTAGAAAACCTATAGAGTCAACCTTCGATTAACACTAATCGGGCTTTGAACAACCCGGCCCAGAAATGATCCAATTTTTGGTTACAGAAGATAAATCTAATACTCAAACTTACCGCTGAAGATCGAATCACAACTCGTGAATCCTCCCCACTCGTGATAGCAAACGACGAATCCTTAAGGTTACTCGCGGATTGCATGTTCTCTGGTACAGCCATTTCAACCCCAGCGTGTCTCTTCTGTAAATGTTTCTTCACGCAACTAATATAAAGGAACTTTTTCTGACAAATCGGACAAGCAACTTTATTCTTAGTAGTTTTCTTGGAGCTCGTTGGTTTCTTTTTCTCTTCGGCTCCTGGTACATGAGCTTTCTTGCAGTGCGTGTCAAAGTTGGCGCGATATTTAAAGACCCTTGARCAGACGTCGCACGTGTATTCTTGCCTGGGTTCTCTTGTTTTTTTTGTTTTCCCGTCCTTTCCTTCCATTAGTTTCTTGAGGCATCTAATCATGAAAATCAAAAATATCGTTTCATAGACGTACCATCGTCGTATTACTGTTGTAACGTTGTCGGACAATTATCGTGTCGTTGTCGAATCATTGTCGAAAAACTGCTGTACTATTATCGTTTCATTGCCTTAATGATATCGTTGTCGTAAAATTTCCGTACCATTGTCGTATCATTGCCGTACCGTTGTCGTAAGATTTCCGTACCGTTTTCGTATAATTGCCGTACTGTTGTCGTACAATTTCCGTACCGCTGTCGTATCATTGCCGTACCGTTGTCGCAAGATTAACGTACCGTTGTCGCATCATTGTCTTCGCGATTCGACTTATTTACTAAACACATGTCAAGTACCCGTGCCTTTGCATCGAAGCGAGACGACCGTTTTAACCTTCATACCAACAGACAATTATCCACAGGTATCTATCATTGCACGCGCTCAACGGTGGTCTCGCTTCGACGAAAAGGCGCGGCTTCCTTTCAAAATGGCGCACGGAACCGTGACGAAGACTATTTCACGGCGTACTTCACATGTACTAAAAATATATGAATTCTCTGCGTTTACTAGTGATATTTTTAATGCCTGCGTACAAAGAAATTCTAAACATTACTTCACATGTGTTTAGATCGTGAATTTTATCACTKACATACGTGAGAAATACAAAAACAATACCTTTGTCGGTGTTTGGAAACCCATCGTCTTGACAACAACTCCTTTCCACACAGATCACACTTCTGCATTCTTAGTTCCTTGTCCTGGTGAGTGAGTAGATGCATACGGTAGTTAGAACTCTGTACGAAGTCTTTTGAGCAGATATGACACTTGTATGGACGTTCACCGCCATGGACCAGGATGTGTTGCTTGAGCGTCGAACGATGGGCAAATTTTTTCTCGCATTTCGGGCAACTGCAAGTCATAAAAACTAGACGTTACAACAGGTGAGCGAAATGATGATGATGACGATGATCATGAAATAGTTTTCTTCACGGTTCCCGGCGCCATCTTGAAAGGTAGCCGTGCCTTTACTTCGAAGCTTTAATCTTTAATCTTTAAATAAATTAATTGCCACTAGTGAGCTAATCCGGCAATGGGGCGGCTAGCGGTGGCTGGCCTAGACAACCGTTAAGCGTGCAATGATAGAAACATGTGAATAATTGTCTTTAGGTGTGAAAGAAGGTTTCTATCATTGCACGCTCAACGGTCGTCTCGCTTTGATGCGAAGGCACGGCTACCTTTCAAGATAGCGCAGGGAATCGTGAAGACTACTCCCAGCATACTTAGTAAATGACATTGCTCTACTTTGCCTATTAAATTTAATAATATATAAAATATGAGCGGTAGACCTTTGTAGGCATTTAAAACAGCCCATAAAGGTCGGACGCGCGTAATATTTATATTGCTTATCAAATTCCAACATAAGTAAAAGCATATTTTGCTAAAAACTTCACGACAAAATATCATTCTTTCAAAAATGGCGGAAGATTACGACCGTCAATATCAGGGGACTAGTGACGAATCATGGAAACGAGACCTCAAAGGCCTTCCATCTAGAAATCACCACGACGATCGAATGTAGGCAGTGTCCAAAAGTTTGAAAGATGTATTGGTATGTTATTAACAACAAAACACTCGTTCAAAACACCATCGAAGTTTAATTAGCCTGATTTTCAGACGGGGCCTGGGTCCTACGCTTCACTCCACCCCCACTTCACAACTACCAGAATGCTTTGCCCACTTTCTTTTGTAATACAATTAGTGCCAATTGTTTTACTAATCGCTAAGGGGATTAAAAATCTGAATAACAAAGAAAATGCGCAAGGCTTTCTGGTAGTTGTAGTAAAGTTACGCCATCATGCAAATGGCCTATTCGCGGAGGCTTTGAGACCTCGTTTTAGCATCGTCCCCAGTGCCCTGGTCGGCGACCGTGACATATCGCGCCATTTTTGAAAGTCGTGAATKTCGTGTAAAGGTTTTCGTGTGTTTTTATAGAGTTTGCACTATAYTTTACCCGTATGGCTTTGCTCCAGTATGTATATTGTTGTGTTCTCTCAAGTTCAAGGAGAAACTGAAAGTCTTGCCRCATATATCACACTTATACGGCTTGATTCCCGTATGTCTCATCTTATGGTACTGGTAATGGCCCATCATGTAGAAGGCTCTGGGACARAACTCACACTTGTATGGCTTGACACCTTATAAGCAAAAGGTATTGTGCACTGTTACCATAGAGACGAAAAAACGGGAGGGAGGAGACACAGTGAGGGAGGAAAGAAAGGCAGAAGCAGAAAGGGAGGGAAGAATGAAATGGGAGGAAAGGAGGAAGAGATGAAATAGGAGAAATTCACAGAAAAATGAACCAAAACTAAAATGTATGGTGCAAATCAGCAGGAAGAAGGGAAGGACTTGGGAAGGAAGGGAAGGAAGGGAAGGAAGGGAAGGGAAACACAAAGATAAGAACCAATAATGTCCCTTACTTTACAATCTACTTACACACCTGTATGCTTTCTCATGTGAACTTTCAAGTTTCCAGAAGAAGAGAGTTCGTGGTTACACACTTGGCACTTGTAAAGCTTTTGACCTAATGAAATAGAAATACATGTTAAGACACATTATTATATAGATGATTTCTAACACGCGCTCTGATTGGCCAAAAAAGTGTGGTTTATGAGAGATTTTTGAAAAAAAAGCAAAAAAAAAATGAAAAAAAATCAAAATGGATTTTTGCTTAAGTTTTGCTCAATATCTATTTCAGCTCATGCTTCTTGACATTTCCTTGTGTGTTTCAAATACCAAGCGTGCGTTTATCAGAGTATAAACCACGGCTGAGCCCGATTTATTTGTTAAATAAATACAAAAAATGCCCAACAGAGCAAAAGCACTTGAACAATGAAATTATAAAACAAACTAGTTACTAACTATTAGTCAGTATTTAGTGACTAATAGACGTTATTGCTAAACCAGAACAGAGCAATACACAAGAGGTTATCATTTATGGCTGTTAAGAAATTTCCTCTCAAGGGAGGGGTAGGTATGACTATTAGTACCTGTATGTAACCAGCTATGGCACTTCAATTCTTTCTGTGTATTAAAAGACTTATCACAATTTGGACACTTGAATCTCTTGTTGCCAGTATGTTTGGTCATGTGTCTCTTAAGATCCCAGTGAAAGGGGAACTTTTTATCACATAGAGTACATTTATAAGGCCTGAAATCTGTGTGTAGAATCCAATGTCTTTTCAAATGGCTTGCGCTGCAGTAATCTTTGCCACAGCGATCACAAGGCCAGCGTAATCCTGAGTCGGTCTGGACTGGTGTGATGGACTCTGAGATAGAAGCATTGTATATATTTTAAAAAATATGATTTTTTTGAGACAATAAATCTAAGTTCTAGTTATTGAACTATTGAGCACTCTGAAAGCAATTTAGCTTTACATAAATTATATTTTAAAAAATATACATTTTTAGGAAACTTAGGAGGGTGGGGTAAGATAATGATTTGGATGTTCTGAAGAGCTATTATTTAAATTTTCATGTAAAAAAATCATAGCACTTACTGATATCAAAGTCAAACTGCTCTGGTTCAAATGGAAACTTCTCTGGCATTTCWGTAGAATCTGGTTCTGGATTATCAGCATTTGAATCATCTCTGAAGTTCAYGGGYGGTCTAGYCTCATCAGGTTTACTTGTGTCTGGTATCAGAGCTGCAACATCTCGTAAAGACTCATCAACATTACTATGGAAGTCATCTTGAGCATTGYTTGCTGAAGTATCAGGCACTTGGTTTGACCATTCTTGAGTGGTTGTGATTTGCATTGATTTGTTTTTCTCTTGAATTTGGCTGGTWGATGTAGATTGAGGTTGGTCATTKGAWGTATTCGTTGGATTGGATGGTTGGGCTGCCTGTTCACTGGGRCTAGTTGAYCCTGAATCTAGCATAAAGTATAATTGACGTGTCTAATATTTATTGAAACTAAAAGAGGAAGAAGATTCAATAGCAAATATATAAATCCTTGTAGTTCATGGGAATATAGCTCCAACTGGAGTGCAAAACAATGGAGTCTCGTTCCCAAGAGGACAAAAAAATGTTTGTTTTGTCTTCCAGATGGGGCTGTTTGACGTCAAAAGCAATGGATTTATAAACAACAATCTTTATTTATRAGGATGGAAAATAGGGAGCTGATAGGTGAGCTCCCTTAACTATTAAACCCAATGAAGATAAACATCCTAAGGAATCAAGGTACCCTAGCAACTTGATCTATCAACCAATCAGGAACAAGCACAGATCGACAAATGTTTCAATTGATAAAATATTATGAATAAACCTTCAATGGCCTCAAAGTAGCACAAAGAAAGCMACTTTGCTTATCAAAGAAATGAACATTGAGCAGAGCATATAAATCAAGGTTATAAAACTGTCAGTTAACAACCCAACCCTCTCACCACCCACTTCTATCGGTAATTATTTGATTTGAATAACAGCTGTTACATTAAAATTGAACATAAATCGTAATAATTTCTAACTTTACAAACATTCACTGCAAGAAATCTCGTCCAAATCTTACCATGAACAATGAGGTCGTACGCATCGAGTTGTAGTGTTGTRGAATCAAATGTAATAAGACACGGCACTTGGCCAGTTGAAAGACGGGGTCGGACTCCAAGAAGAAGGCCCGAATTATTTTCGTCAGACGAGTAGATCAACTTTATAAGCCCAAGCGTTACTCCGCGCTCTGCTTTGACGACTAGAGCATTGTTTCGGTAAAGAAGAATCTACAAAACAACAATTGCAAGTATTGGGYATTGACACAGATGATTTTTTGACAAATCATGTTGACTCGAAGGTGTATTACTTATAATACTACGAAAAAATACTAAAATACGCAGTTCTATCTACGCTGACTAGAACTTTGAAGTATGCTTTGCTAGGACAGAAAGTAAGGTTTACATRAAAGCAAGCAAAAAGCTTAATATAACGTATTTAAAGTCGTTCTTAGGAATAAAAACATGCCGAAAATATCGAACGAACCGGACGAACACTCGCTTGTCTTTGTAAGTTTTAGCAGAGAATACATACTAAAAACCACTAAAAAGGCTTATACTACAAAAATGATAAACATAGTTGAGACTTACTTCGTTTTGTTTGCTTTTAGGGTTTTTCTCTTGTCGTTCTGTGCTGTAGTTGTTTCTGTTTACCAGTGACCCTCCAGAATATGACGCCATCTTGATTTACCGACGTTGATGCGAGAGGACTGGGTGCTAGGCTATAAACGAAGGAGCTTTGTTTGCATCGTTCATTTTATTTCTTAAAATTTTCTTTCTTGCTTGGTTTTTATTCCAAATTTTCCGGTTGAAAAGTAGTTATTAGCATTAGGTATATATCAAACTTAAGATTCGSTTTCTACAAACTCACTTTTACAAAGTTTTGAAGTTTTTGCTGTACTTTTTAAAACATGGGGACGTTTCGATGTCGTCGGGTTGCGCGCATATCCCTTTTTAGCGCACAAGGTTTTTAAACAAAACTAAAAAGAGAAAGAAAGAAAACCCGACGTCTGAAAATTGAGCAATACCCAGGTAAACCCGCTGTTCCCAAATACAATTTACAACAGTTTTAACAAACCATAACCACCTTTATTCTGCCATCAAGTTTCCCCTTATTAAAAAACACTGTTTACTTTTACAAATAATGAAATAAGTATCTTCAGTATAAAGTACTGTACAAACTCTTGAAAAAGTATCGAGTTCAAAAAATATAATTTTGATCAAATAGTACTTTTAAGTAAATTAAAAGTAAATTCAAAGGCGAAATTGGCTTCATCTGCCCTCGCTGGAATGGCCACTATTTCAAATCCAACTATCTGTTTTATACTTCCGGCGATCATGAATAACGAGAAATAACGAGCCCCCACCCTCCCCCCGTTGATAATGTTCATGCGTCCATCTTAAATAGTGTCCATGAACAGGAACTCAAACACAGGAATCCCAAAACAAGCAGAAAAATCATCGCTAGTATCTATCAGGGTCTTGTAGTTTACTCCAGTGTGGGATAGGCCTGTCCCAGTTGTGCATACGTTGCCATAGTTTCAATTCGTTGCCCGTAGAGTTGCAGCCAATCAGAACGGAGCCAATGATGTCATTGCCATGCATGACTGAGATCAAGAGATCAACGCTGTCCAACTGATCAGCGGTCATGTCAAAAGAGATTGCCTCGTTGAAGGTTGGGTTCAAATCCCCTTTCTTTGTGGAGGTCTTTTTCTTCTTTAAACGCTTACCGTCTTGTAATAAAGTCACTTTGACATAGGGGTCTATGGGAAATGATCGAATGAATGAAATGGAAGATAATCAAAGGATAGTTATTCAGTCAATCGAGCCTTGTCAATCAATCAATCAGTGAATCGATCAATCAATCAATAAGTCAATCAATCGATCAATCAGGTCTTGTCAACTAACC